TGCATGTGTGTGTGTTGCTGTGTATGTTGTATGTATGTGTGTGTGTGTATGTATGATGTTGTGTGTGTGTGTGTGTGTGTGTGCGTTGTGGCGTGTGTGTTCTTACCTACTTATTTCAATACGGGAGAAGCTAAAGCCACAAATATATATAATTATATATAAATTTTTTTTTTTTTTTTTTTTGATAGCGGACCCACCGACAATTATTTCCAGGAAAAAAGGGTTAACCCGATTTTTTCAAATTTCCGCCGATAGTGACGCCGCTAGAGAAATAGCAAAAAATAAATACAAATCAATTTGTTTATGATTCATGGGTATGGTATTTTTTCTTCCACGTCCCCAAATCAATTTGTTTATGATTCCCCAAATCAAAAATAAAATATATTAGGCTATGATCAGTACTGGCGTATTTCGCAATATGCAAAGAGAACACCTGTTACGTTAAAAAATTAAGAAATGGTGATGAATATATGTTATGTATAGCTGTCACTCCTACATAAATACAGAACGTAACTTGATTTCAGAACCTTTTTATTTTGATCTTATCACTCTGATATTTCATTTTACTAGAACCCTTTATATCATTTTAACTTTGTTTCATGTATGGCCTTGGACTTTAATCTTAATTCGGTTTTACTTTAGTATTTTTTCCGGGTTAAGGTTTTATTTCTTTCTCTTTTTCATTTCTTTCTTTATTATTCATTTTCGTATTGTGATTTTTATTCCTCTTTGTTTTACTTTAACTTTGATATTAATTTCGAATTACTTTTACTGACTCGACATCTTGTTTACCGTAAACCAGAGCCATATGCAAACCAGTCTTCAAAGAAGCAACGCGTGAGATGGACGTCTCCTAACTTAAAGATAAGGAAGGGGCCGAACGCTGCCACTTCATCCCTTTCCTGATATTAAGATGATATAAGTTATTATAATATATTGCAGTGAAAAATGGCGAATAGAATCCGGAACTAATAAAACTATAACGTGGATACGTAATCGCTTCATGTTGATCTATACATATGTAAATAAGTGTATATGTGTCTGTGCGTGTGTGTGTGCGTGTATGTGTGTATGTATGCCTATGTGTATATACATGTTATACTCGTATATAGATATATGATATATGCATATGGTTTATACACACACACACACACACACACACACACACCACACACACACACACACACACACACACACACACACACACACACACACACATATAATAATATAATAATGTAATATACACATATATAATATAATATATATATATATATAATATATATATACACATATAATGTATTTGTATATATATATATATATATATATATATATATATATACTATATATACATAACATATATATATATGTATATATATATATATATATATATATAATATATATATATATAATATATATAAAATAACATATAACATATACGGTGCTGTGTGTATCTGTTTGTATTTATATAACACGTATTCATATGTTTTATTTTTGTGTAAAACATATGTATGTATATATACATATTACATGTTATATATACACATAAATGAAATATACACATACATAGTAAAAAACATATACTATGTATATATATTAAAATCCAATGTATATATAACCCATAAACATATACACATATATCTAATACACATATATGTACTTACAACAAATTCTGTATATGCAATTCATATGTATGAATAAGTATAACTCACACACACACACACACACACACACACACACAACACACACACACACACACACACACACACACACACACACACAACACACACACACACACACACACACACACAAATACAACATCTCTCTCTCTCTGTCTCCCTCCTCTTCTCTCTCTCTCTCTCTCATCTCCTCTTCTCTCATCTCTTCTCTCTCTTCTCCTCTCCTCTCTCAATA